TATTTTAGTAACCTATACTTACTTGGTCCATTATGTTACTATAGAATTGATTTATGGCGGTTTTGATAACTTCATGAGTCGTAGTATATGAAAATTCCGCGGTTGGCCAGATTACAAATAGTATTTATCATGGTAACGAACGCCCAACTCTACGCCTAGTCTTTAACAGTAGAGAGGTGCCTCTGATATCTCAGATTTTTTTCTTATAAGTATGAAGTGTTTCATATAAGTAAAAGTTTATATATTATCTATAGTGACGCATTGTGCGTTGTTCTCCTCTGGAATAAGGAACTTTCTTACATTCTAGCCTAATTCTTTCATTTACCTATTTAGTGCACATGATGTTGCGTTGCTTAACATTATACTAACTTACTTTTCATCAATTCAAGTCTTAAGCCAGCGACATAAAGTGCGTATTTGTGTGATGCCATTTTATTTATGAAGTTTACAGTCTTTATTACCCTCTCTAAACAGTTTAGTTATGGAAAAGTATACTCTATCTCTAATATGCTAATTATTATAGTCCTTATTTACCCCCAATGTCACTTAAGTACCTTCCTAGATCCAAGCCTCGACAGGAATCAATCGCGAAGTTGTTAATTTTCAACTTTATTACAAAAGTTTAAGGTTGAAATTCTACAAACAAACACAGCTGTTGAACGAAAGAAGTTTTTAACACTACATTCTTTTCTATATTATCACATGGACTCAAGTATGTATGTAGGTTACAATTTGTAAATATAAATGTACAGATGTGTGTGTGCATTTTGCATTATTTGTTTTTTAAATGGAAATGAGTTTTGAATGCACTGCCAGTGTAATTAGTTGGATTTTTTAAAAAAAGATCGTGGGTTTAGCGATGGTAATTTAGAATCCTGGCTGCAACGGTGCGCTTGTAGGTTTTATTTGCTATTTATTTTTTACGTGGAAAGTCTAAACAAGGTTTTTATATCTGGTAATGGTACGGTATGAAAGTTTGTGGTGTTTTATTAAATGAATCGTGTACTTTCACTTCTATTACATATGAAAGCGATAAGAACAGAAAGGTTATAAGGGTCGTTTTTCATTGTCAAGTCATATTAGCACCCGAATTTGCCTCTGCTATAGTAAAGTCGACCTAAACCTACTGTGATCTTGGTCGATTTTCATACGATTTTTTTATGTGGCAATGTGTGTTTGCCCATAATAAGCTTTACCGTGTGGTATTAAAGTTCCTATTCAATATAACGCTCCATGTATAAGAAGATTTCCACGTAAAAAATTGATGGCGCCAATTTTTTTCACACGTTCGTCATATTTTTTCTAACTTGTATCTCGAAGTTGGTTTGTTTAGTTTTTGCTCATGATTTTTTGATGAATAACTATTTAGTTATATCATCGCCATGAATTTTGGTTTATTTTGTTATGGAAAATAACTTTTAACTATTTTCATTACATTTTAGTCTTAGACTTTTTCTCTTCATTCAATATGGCGAATATAAATATGCTACTGCTATGTGTGAACAGGACAGAATATGGCGTTAAGCTACTGCTATTCCTCTCTTTCGTATGCTGTTAGACAGAGGTTAACGTAATAATGTGTTGCCATAATGTATGTTATTTTTAATAAGTCAATATGAATATGTTGGAAGTCATCAAGTGTAGCACTAATTTGTGAAAACACAACTCGTTGTTACATAAAAACTCATCGAAATTGGTCGATCTGTTCCAGAGATGTCATGCTACAGACGTTTTGCGTCGGGAGTTCAATCTAGTAAATTATACCGACTTAAGTGCATTAGTCATGTTTGTAGTTTGTATTGTAACTTAAATTCACGGAATGCACATGAATATAAGACCCTAGTGTGTTTTAAAACTAGTCGAGTTCCTCGTCAAAAAATTACGTGAGTAAGCCGATAAAACATAATAATTAATGAATTAGCTATATTAATTCTATACGTATTTATGAGTGTATGATATGATTTTATGAAATTTATCCAGAGGAAACTCGATGCAGGGCGCAGTCAGCTAAGAGGGCTTTAGTACGAGTTTTACGTTAAAACTTTAATCAAAACGCACCGCGTTCGGTGCTCTGATTGGTTGGTTCATTGGAGCTGGCCAATCAGAGCGTCGAACGTGAATTATGCGCGCTTGCCCTGCTTGAATGGATCAACCAAACAACGTCCAACGCGGTGACGTTTAGATCTTATTAAACGCAATACTAACTTGCACTAAGAGTTCAGATTATTATAATAATAAAGCAAATTGCTAGTCGCCATATTGAATGAAATGAAATAAATACAATTCTATGTATGTATTTTCTCCCTATGTAACGTAAGACCTTTTTTTTTGTAAATTTTGTGTATTTTTTTGTAATTATAGTTTTATTATTACGTTGCATTGAGTTTGTTTATTTACAAGACTTTCTTCTATATGTAATAACATTATAAATGTTATACGCTACTGTTTTGTTTTATTTCAGTTTTGTCATCATCAGTTTTCTTAAATTTTTGTATGCCTCCTTGTCACTCATCATTAGCCATACGACCTACGAAGATAATGTTTAGTGCGACCATTTTTAATTTTGTTTAGTTCTTTGTCAGATAGTTTGTTATTGGGTTTTCATAATAAGAAACAGTCATAAACGCAGGACGCTCCCCAACAGGGCGGACAGACCACCCAATAAACTAATAAAGCAAATAGTTTCCAACCATCCTATCTGAAAGTCATTAGAGGGGCCTACATTTAGTTTAGACCCAGTCTTGAGTCACGGAGGATCGCCAGAATCCGCCGCGCACGAAACAAGTACTCGATATGTTTGAACTTGTCCGAAATGAGAAGTCCGGACAACATGAATGGAAAATGACGTATTTTTGTGCAGCAAACCCACTATGAACATTGTTTTTGTTACTCTTGCTACTTCTGACGCTCTGGTACATTTTCATAGAAATAGAAATATCATTCAAAAGAAATTGTATGTGCAGTACAATATTCGTATCTATTTATATGAAGTCTTGGTACCTTGTGAGCAATAAATGTCGTATTTTGTGCACAACAATGTAACTGCATAATACTTTGGCCAACCTTACATTTAACCAGCAACCGTAAATTAAAACTAAAATCACTTAAATCAATCCAGTAGCTTTTTATTTATTGTTGTTTATGTAGTTAGTTCGGGACGTTAGGATAAGGGTAGATTTTTGACCAAAATAAAAAGAAATATTCTATACGTAAAATAAAATCGTAGAAAAGTCAAAACTGTAGGTACATTAAATATATTTTTTTAAATAATACTTGAGGTGTGATCTATAGTCGACACTGAAGCCAAAAATATGGTTTTTACTATTTTTGTCTGTTTGTCTGTATGTAGGTATCTCAAAAAGTACTGCATGGATTTATTTCAAATTTTGTATGATTATTACTAACAGATCGGGTCAACATATAGGCTACATATTATCACGCTGTCACTTACGGGGTAAGCGCAGTAAATCACTATTCTACGCGAACGAAGTCGCGGGCACAGCTAGTGTTGAATATCTTGGAAACTAGCCACTTTCGGACCTGGGACCTCAGGGCTAAATTTGTAGGATATAAGTTGTATTAGTACCTACCGAGAGGAATATTTATTTATTTATTTATTAACACTTCTGTATAACAAACATACGATGGCGGACTTAATGCCGGGTGGCATTCTCTAACAGTCAACCATGGGGTGATGCAGAGATGTGCAACAGTAGGTGTAATAGGTGTAATGGTTTATGTGACACAGAAAAATCTATATAATTATGCATAACTGTAAATACATACATATATCCGTATAATATATAGGTATAATATAAATTACATAAGATACATTATCAATATTACTAGATAACAATACTATAAAAGTAAATAAATAAATTGGGAATAAAACTACATATAATATATATTTATATACATATATATTAAATACAATCGCCAAAATGATAAATTAAGTACGTGATGCGTCTGTCTGTTCCCTCTGCAATAGCTCACGAACCTTAACTTTAAAACTAAGCCGGCTGGTTGCCGTCCTGACATCCGTGGGCAGCGCATTCCACAGCAGAATGGATTGGACAAAGAATGAAGAGTGAAGGAAGTCGGTACGGTGTGTGGGACATTGTAGAAGAAGATTATTAGTGGAACGAAGATACTTGCTGTGGTTTGCGCTTATGAACTGAAAATAGGAGGATAGATAGCTAGGAGAAGTGGGGGAATTAAGAAGAGTATACGTAGAGTTATAAATCGCCCTGTATAAATATAGGTTTTTATACTTAGACTAGCGGACCCGACAGACGTTGTCCTGCATATCCACTTGAATGTATAAACAAAAATTAATTCAAATTATAACCTAGACCCGACTGCAGCGCCATCTGTCGGGCTGATTTGTGAATCTAAACCATTCCCAGATCCCCTTGAACACACAAAAAATTTCATCAAAATCGGTCCAGTCGTTTAGGAGGAGTTCAGTGACATACACACTCACAGAAGAGAATTATATAATAATATATAAAGATTTTAGGTCGGGGTTCTCTATGAAATATTTATATACTTACGTTTTTGTATAGATTTGTTTCGAAGTTCGCTTAGGTATATGGCACTAAGTTCCCGCCTCTTACAATTGGGAGAGGAAAAGGAGTGTTAAGGGTCTGCTGTAAAATGTGACGAGGTAAATAAAAGTTAAATCAATTCTTTTGTATAATTGGAATGTATTGATTGTTCATAATTATAATTATCAGTCTAAATAAATACAATATTTTAATATCAAAACTACAGTATTATGCATTTTGTTGGACATTACTAATTCTATAAAGAGAAAAATATTTTCTTGAGATTTAAATAAAATAGGCATGCAGTCGAAATAACAGTTGCAACGATTTCAAATCGACTATAGCTTTATGTTGATACAATAAGGTTGCATTTCGTATGTCAATGCCCTAATAAGGTACTAAAGATATTACGTTAATTAAATTGTCATTATTGCTCTCCCTAGCGCACAATACCTTTAAAGGAGGAATTACACTACATGTCAAGATTTTCCAGTAAATTGTACTTTAACATCTTGAATACTAATGCCATATTCAAATGTAACGGTTAACTCCATTCTTTTTGCACTAATATACCTACTTGAAAACTACTCTATTGTTTTCGTCTTTCTATCTCTTTTCTTTTTGTATTTTAAAAGATGTAGAAAGACGTAAGAAACAAAACAAGAGTAGCTTTTAAATATTAAGGTGATGATAACATTTCAAGAGTCAAAAATGATATGACTTTTTTACTGTGACAACATCGATTAATTGAGATCAAAAAGTCGTAACAACATTTACATTATATTTTATGTCTTTACGTCCTTTTAAACTCCAAGTTTTACTTATTCTTACTTAAGTTATTTTTGCCATTATTGTCAAATCTATAAATTATTCCTAACATTTCTTCTTACGTATTATAAATTCGTCTGCTATCAATAAATTTAAAAAGAAATAACCTATACTAAAAGAAAATGGCTGCCGTTTCAAAATGGCGTAGCTTTATTTGCAGACTAACTTTGTTTAGGTTATCTCAGGAGGCTTCAATTAATGATTCTTCTTTTCGCCAATTTCTATGATTATGAGCAAATATTCAGGCGATATAAGATATAGCGTGATTTAAACTCGTCTTAAATCTTAAGTTATTAATGATAATACTATTTTCACCTATCAAAATGAAAACAGATGTTATTAAACAAACGATTTCTGCGCAGAACATCAATTGCGCAAATATACCAACTTGCGCAAATAATAACAGTTGTGCAAAATTGTAGCCTACGCAAGATCAGAGCAGCATTCGCTTCGTAAACAAAATTAGTCTTCAAAAACGTTACAAGATCAAAAATCATAAACATTCTGGTAGATCCATGGCAAGAATTTGGCTAAGTCTGTAAATATGACGTAATGGGACGGATCGCAACGGTACTCGTTCTGCCTGGCTACCGACAAGGAGACGAGACCACGAAGGTACCACGTGCCTCCCATCCTGAACACCATGCCGCCACCGCTGTCGCCGTTGCAGACTGAAGTACCTACAAATGAAAGGGGGTGAATTAGAAAGGTAATTAGATAAAATCAGTAATTCGCTCAAAAATTGGAGGGTACCTAAATACAAAAATGATACTAGTTTTTCGAACTATCTGGTAATATAGTTTTAAGGTCAACCAAATAACAGTAGTTATACTGTTATACGAGTCTATAAAGACTTAGGGCCGATTTTTACTTAACGACAGATCAATAATTTTAGCTGAGGAATTACTTTGAATATTTGTTCTTCCATACTAAAAACTCAAATATCAATTGTTTTCCACGCATAGTAACTATGTTTAGGTACTTAGGTACTTTTTTAAGGAATTATGTATTTATAATATTGAAATAGGCGTTTGTACAGATTTTTCAAAAGAATTTGCTTAAAATGTTGACTGTAAATTCAATAAATTATAAATAAATTGGCACGGTTAGGCACTTTACATAATAAACAAAAGTTAAAGGAGCTGCGCGCCCGCGCACGCTGATCATGAGGAAGAACCCCTCTGTGGTTCGAAACTAGTAGAGCTTTTCTCAATATATTCACGCGAGTAACTAATAAAGCAATTTTAGTTAATTTAGTATGTCTCACGATAGTTATTATAAAAAAAAGTTAAAGACCTTATTATAATCTAACAATCATGCATAGAATAAAACAATTAAAGAAGCCTCATGCTTAAATATTCAATGACCAGTCGTTCTGAATTTAAGTAGGTATTTGCATTGTCTTTTTCGGGCAAAAGTGCGGTAGCATTAGTAAATTAGGCACTAAGGTACATAGACTTCATACCTATATCTACTAAAAATTTGATAGCAATCCGGTAAATCAAACCAAAAGTAGGTACGTACTGATTTAGCTAAACGGCATAAGAATGTTATTTAGCTGCATTTTATGGGTATCGTAGCTACCATGCAGCACTTTACTAAGAAATAATAGTGCATCAGTGAATACCTAAGTAGTTTAGAGTAGATTACTTATTAGCTATCTGGAGTATGCATCTTGAAACCTATTTCGTTTTCGTCTCGGGGCAAAACATCATGCCATAAAGAGTACTTTCGATGTAAGTACTTATAAAGTAAAAACAAAAAAAAAAAATAAGTTGTAATTTTTTAGGTTTCAAAAAATAGTTTCTTGGTAATACGCAAATACTTTATTACATCTATGGAGACACTTGTAGGCAATATTGGCATCGCATGTACCACCCGACGAGAAATACCTCTTCGAGAATCACATGGCGTGATGCTTTGATAATGTGGTAGGTACTATGAGTTCGTATGCGCTTTTGAAGTTTGCTTTTTGCAATGGTTCACCAGTTATTTTTTGTTTTAAACATTTTATTTCTTTGTAAAACTATTGTATTGGGTATCAAGACAACAATTTTACTTTGGGACGAACACGAAATAGATTTCACGGTTTAGGTAGATATACTTACCTACAATCTCTTGATTGGGAAAAATAACAAAAAGAAAAAAATTATTAAGTAGGTACCTGCAGGTAGCCCATAGGCTAAATAAGTTCTAACTTATATCTAAGTACATTTTACTACAAAGGCTATAGTTAGTTGTGCATTAAAATAAATGGTTTATAAAGCAATAGTGCGAGCAAGCGTGCCACCATTACCTAGTTAGGTTATGGAATAAACTAATCAAGTAAACATACTTTCCCTAACTCCGGTTTGTTCATTGAAGTGTCCTGGAAGCAATTAATATAAGCATTTTATTATGCTAAAGTCTACTTAGCTATGTACAAAATCATTTGGGTTGATCTGGAAATTCTTGAAATGGATGGCTAGGTGCTTACGTATTTTACTTTTACTTCATTGACATTAGGGTAATTTTAAGTTGTTAAGAAAGTCAGCCAGCTCAAAATGTTTAAGGGGGAAATGGGGGATCGACTCAGTAGATACTGTAATCATTTGCGCTGACTTATTTGTTAACAAAATTATGAACATAGCTATCGAGTCTGCGCGAATTCAATATTTATGTTCGTTCCCGCATAATAAATGGTTTGGCTCACAGAAATGATTTGTGCCGGGATTTCTTTTATTCTATAGCGTAAAATTGCAAAAACGCAAAATAAAATTTTAGGTAAATGATAGTAGGTGCCAATATTAACTGAATATGTTGATGACTAATTGGTGTTTTTATCGATTTTACGAACGTAGGTATTTTTTATCAATTTAAAAGCACTGAATGATATGAACTGGTTCTATTTGTGGAGATATTATTTTATTAATTGAAGGTATATAAATTAACGGTCACAAAAGGATTTTGAATATTGACATGAATCGAAATCTGAATAATGATAATATGTTTGAAGTACCTATGCCCAAGTAAAAGATAAGAGAAGACACAGCAAGCGCAAGAGACAAAAGATAAGCCTGTAATTTTGTAGATATCCAAAACCTCTACCTAAATGAACCTTGTAGAATGCTAGAAAAACCTGGATACATCTAGATATAGACGAAACTAATTTTCCGCGTGACTTCTCTATCTAAGTCGTCTGCTCCAGAAATGAGACACGCAAAAGTAAACTCATTCATTTCATTACATACATAAGCTTCATGCCTGTCTGTCTACCATAGGCAGAGAGTTGTTACGGTTGCTATGCTACATACCTTTTTCGCTTCATCAACAGTCATCAGTCTTTTCATGCATGCTTGTCGGCTAATGGTACTTTTAATTTCGCCTTTATTTAATACCTATGTATCCTTTCATTTCATTACAGTAAACATAAATACCCCTATAATTTATATTATGCTATAAGTTTATAAAAAGTCAAATACCTATCTTACCGTCTCTGTATCCAGCGCAGTAAGTATACTCGGAAGTGAATCGCACGAAGAATTCGCTGTACGACCTGATGCAAGTCTCCTGGCTGACTACCGGCATCTCGACTAGGCTTAACTCTTCTGTAGCTACGCCAGTCTCGTCGAAACCCCAGCCTACCACCTAGATATTAAGAAAATATAGTCAATTATCCTTACTTATATTATAAATCGGAAAGTGAGTTTGTTTGTTTGTTCCGCCTTCACGACGTAACTACTGAACCGATTGCTTTGAAATTTTGCAGAGGTAAAGTTAGAAGTCCGGATTAAATATTAGGGTACTTTTTATCCCGGAAAAACAAAAGTATTGGTATAGATGGCGCTGTGTGTATTGGTATATGTCACATAGGCTACTTTTTATCCTTTTGTGACGCGAGCGAAGCCGCGGGTAAAAGCTAGTTTATCATAATTGTATTAAGTATATTAATTTGTTTTATTGATCATAATTGTTATTTCTTTTGGTTTCTTCGGTATTATTATTTTTTTTTATTGATATTTATTATATATTTGTGTAACACACTGTGTCTCGGTGCCGTTATTTCTTTTCCTGCCACAGGCCTACAGGAAGAAATTCCAGTTGGAATATGTGGGGCCTATGTACTCTGTTTTTATATATGTAGTGTCCTTTGTGTTGAATGTGTGTACATAAATAATAAATAAATATAGAGTTAGTACCCAACCAAAATAGGGATGATGACAGAGTATGTAAATTAAAAATGTAATTAGTCCATCAGTTAGGTACCTAACTCAAAAAATTTAGACACGTATTTTTTTATTTTGTCGTATAATAAAACAATACTTAGATAAAACGAATCAAAGTTTAGGAGTGGGGGCTAAAACGTCATTTCTACGTATAAAATGTACATAGAAGTGACTTCACGTGATATTTCAAATCAAGATATCTTCAAAACTATTTGTTTCCGTAAAAAAAATAAAAATACGTGTCTAATGTATTTAAATAATCTACCAGACGGACATTAAAATAAAAATATTCATCTACCCTATTATAATAACATCAACAAATCTAGGCAAGCTGTACCTAATTAATGCTTTAACCCGCATATCTCTCTCGCTCTTTCGTAGCCTAATATTAGATCGCTTAATATGAGAAAGATTAATATTTGCTCAAAAAGATAAAACATTGTTCTCTTATAGATCTACAAATTAGTAGTAAGGGTATCGGCACATATTTAATTACTTTGTGAGATTTTATACAATAAATACATGATACATTATTGAAATTAATAGTAAAAACTAATAATAATCAGATAACGTTACATAGAACATCAACAACTTCGCTAAAACAACGATATTAGGTATTTAGCTCTCTGTAGAATCCTACTTTTAAAAGACCAGATTATAATCCAGTCCATAATTAAGTAGCTAGGCATCTACTTAATTAAAATGAGTTCATATTTTTTTATGTAGATTACCCAAAAATATGAACTCATTTTACATATTCTACTAATCTTCCACAAATTAGACTTTACGTCGAAAGTTAAACGGTTCACCCTCACAAGTCGGAAGGATTAATATACTAATCCATGTTAATACCTTCCCTCTCGCTAAAAACCGTTTTAGGTTTTCGTAAAACCTTCATATAAGGACATACTTAATTAAGTTTATTAAATATGTAAGTAGGTGAGGCGTTTAGGTATGGTAATGCCTTTTTGTATGCTCCATATTTCATAATGTTAGGTCATAGGTACTCTCTTTAAGCGGGCGTTATATTTTGTTTTGGCCATTTAATTGTAAAAAATCACGTCTGTAACTTCTAGAAAGGTAACACAGAGGTAAAGATAGACCTCGAGACTTTATCATTTAAAAATTAAAAAAGGATTAAATGCTCTTCACCTATTATTTTGACAACTTATATCAACAATTTACCCGTTTGGCGCATTTGCAGCTAATTAAGAGAAAGTGCTAATTGACCGTTCGCAAGTAAAGCGTCGGATAATTACGGTATTCGACAAAACTGCAGCTGCAGCGAGTTTTCAGGCAGAATAAACGCTGCCTTTGCCCGCTCCATCCATAAAGTTACTAATTGACCGCTCGAACCATAGATCTGTTTTCTGTCCGACTTTACTAATCTGTGGCTCAGGTTTGGCGCAATTTGTGCGCTATTTAATCTGTTCGAAAACTTTTAGTTGGTGGATACTTCATAATAATTATATTTAATCATAGATAGATTACGCATTTACATAATTAAGTAAGTAATCATATTATTATGTTTCTTAGTTAGAATTTGCATTCTAATGCTATGTTTGTGTTCTTAACTTGTTTTTTGTAAACACTTACCGATCCCTTTTTCCCGATGACATTTTTCAAGGATGTGTCGGAGTCTGGCCACAAACAGGCAGGTCTGACCCAGTCGCTGTATGTGACTGTCTCCCTGAGCTCCAATATGGCGGCATCGCGGCTGAAGGTTGTAGCATTGTAATCTGGGTGGACTATTATGTTGCCGACCTGGAAATACAGATAATCAATTTAGAAAAAGTCTTATGTAATAAGTATCCATTAGGTTTTTTATTTTGTTGTAAATGACAAATACCTACTCCACATCAGACGCAGACCCAAAATAAAAAATTATAGAGCACCCAAATCACTAGTTGTTCAATGTTTCATTCAGCTACTGTATCAGCCACTTATCAGAATTGAAGTTCTTTAACTCGTAAATGTCCAATTATGAAAAATCTACAACATTTATTTATACAAAAGTAGTCTCTAAACATCGGAAATAAGGTCTATAATGGTGTAAGTGGAGTGCGGTTACCGGTGACCACGGGACCAGAATTTGAGACCAGAGGAAGTTTTTGGAAAACCGAAAAACCTAAGTCATATCTTTATGCTTTAGGGACGAACAGCCATTATTTCATGATATCACAGATTCTAGTAATAAATATTCAAGTCAGGGGTTGCATAAACAGGGACATGTTACGAACGGGTCCCTAATTGGCAGTAATGTGGCCATAACATGACATTCCCTGTCCGTACGGGTTGCACTCATTTGTCTCTTAATGTCTATCATTAAGCTTTATTTCTGTTCGCCTTTTTTATAAATGTTTTCTTTAATTTATGTTTTTCTCTAATTCTAAAATGTTTAGGTTTTCTGATTATAAACTTTTTGTAGTTATTTATAAGACGTAAATTATGCGTTTATTAACCCCTATAGGAGGGATAGAGAGAGACTGAAAATCCACATATTGTCTTAAATCTATATTTATTATGTTTTAACCCTTAACTTTGATCATGCTAAGATATACTATCGGGTTATTTCAGTAATCCCCAAGCAATTCAAAACAGCATTATCACCTCTACCCACTAGTGTTAATCACCGTCAATAATTTATTCACCCAAACCTATTCAAGGGGTTACCGCCGAAATCGATCAGTTGTAAATTTAGCAATAAACAGTACCCCTTAGTCACCAGTTAATTAATCTTGTGGATTTGGTCCTGTTTTGTAGTTCGTGGCTTTAACAAACAAAAGAGGTATTAATCTATTTCCTTGCAAACGTTGGTCGAACTCTTTGGTCAGAACGGCGGGAAATATTTTAAAAATAGAATTAATATGTCAATTTGTGGCGCTATTTTTTAGGTTGCGTCCCAAAGGTTAATAACGAAGGGACTAAGACTCCACTGTCCGTCTGTTACCAGCGTGATAGACAGTTAATGTATAATTTTGTGGCTGCTAAAACAACACAGACTAAAACAAAATTAAATAAATATTTAAACAGGGCATTCTGACAGAGGCTCCACGCAACATAACAAACGTGATTTTGTAAATGTGATATTTTCGAGTTTCCGATAAACACGTGTGCAACGTGCAGAATATGCAAATTATTTGACCTAACCTTTAAAAATCTTAAGACAATTTTATTGTTGAAAATAATAAAAGTATTCATTTATCGGGAGCATTTTCCTTATTAATTTCAATCTTTTTACGGCCTAGATAAGGGTTTAACACCCTTACTTTAAGAAAATCAGCTTACATTCAAGAAAAAGAAATGAAATCGACTAAGTAACTAATTAAATTATTTGATAACCACTTTAGCACGCAATAAAAGAGGTTCTAATTATAAAATTTTTCATAGAGAAGGAAGCGAGTAGCGAGTACTACAGCTCTGGAGTTTCTCAAGTGGTTGATACGGACAAATAAAAACTATGAATGTGGAGAGTTGAAAGTTTCAGGAGCTCATTATTGAGGCGTACAAGTTTTGTAGAGGGTTCAAAGATCAAATAGAGTTTATAAAGAACTAAGTGACTAAGAAGTATTCGACTAAAGAGACGAGTATAATATTTTATTTAGGAAAGTGTATAAGTACATAATATAACATGACATCACGCCTTTTATCCCCGAAGGGGTAGGGAGTGGTGCACATTACGGCACTTAATGCCACTGTACAATGTTATACCTTCTTTTCACTATTTATATTATGAGTCTCATGTAATAGGGGGTGAGTCTATTGCCATATACCGGACACGATTCCAGACTCCGTGCTTCTACTGAGATTTTTTTTTAAAACCGAGTAATACTTTGCCCGACTCGGGAATCGAACCCCTGCCCGATAGTCGCACTTGCAACCACTCGGCCAACGAGGCAGTCCTTGACTGTCCGTATATAAGTGTTGAAGGCAAATCTTCCGCTAAATAAACACATATTATGCCGTGCATAAAATACTCGAGGATCGTTGGGTTCAAGAAATTACTTACAAATTTAATCTGGACGCCATCGACAGAAGTCCTTAGGTTATGTTTCCCCAGGTAGACGGTCAGGGTGTTGCGGTCCACGATCAGTTGCGACGACTTCTTTGTAACGCAGTGAGCTGCCGTGATCACATGCTTGTGGCTCACCAGGGTTCCTCCACAGATGTATTTGTTGTCCACCGTCTGGAAGACAGGAGTCAGTGGTGTTATGAAGGAAAATTGTAGTTTTGAGAATCAAGAGAAATGTTCATTATCAAAATACAATACAGTTATGCACATTCATCTGTGATTAGATTAAATTCCAAAAGCTCGCCAATTTAGTTTTGGAAATATTTTTACATCTTATGAATTCTTAAACATTACTTTCTTAAGAATTGTATGTGAATAAAAATGTATAATATAATATAAATAAATCTACATAATATCCCTTACATTTATACCTATATAATATAAAACAAAACCAAGGGATAAATTATTTAAATGAATGGCAATTTTTTTAAACATTTAACAAGATTTTTGATTTATTAGTTACTATTCTATTCTATATTTAAATATAGATGTAAACTAAATAATAAATAACTAGAGCTAAAATAAATAGAAACTAAAGTATTTACAACTAAAATTAACACAAGAAATACGGAAAAATATGATATAGAAAAAATGGCTGTATTAATTAGATGATGGGAAAAACTGGCTTCATTTTTACTTTAGCTATAACACAAGAGGTTTGAAAGCAAATTTTTCATGTATTATATTTTCAGCCATGATCGTCCAACTGCAGGGCAAAAGCCTCCCTACCCTACTTCCCTTCTCTTTGTTTTAAAAGCAAATATTGAATTGAAATCATAACATAAATTAGGTACAGATTACTCTTACCTGAGTCTGGTACAAAGCTATCTGCCACGGCCACTGTCCTTCCAAAGTTGGAGTTCCATTGACCACCAATGGGATTGGGTTCAACACCACCTTACCGCACTGAGCCTGTCGGAGTTTAAAACAATATTATAGACAGGTCGACAGACATTTTAGTTTAATATTAGTACTTTTTGTTGGTTTTCTTTCTACAAGTGCATGGTGGCTACATTTTGTGGTTGATTTTTCTTATGAAATTGTGGTTATAATACAATAGATAAAGAAAAAATATTATTATTAATTAATCTGATCTAGGTATTGTATTGGTCTCTAAGGATGTGCCATACCAGGCTTTGCAGCGTGGGGGCTCAGTAGCAGGTCTCTTTTAGAAGACCCGGTGCCCCCCTTCCAGGTGCTGAGGGTGGCCACCGGGGTGGTTTTAGTGAAGTACGAATCCCACACTCCCTAGTCTTTCTCCCCAAAAAGCTAGGAGCCTTTGAAGGATTCCTCCCGTCATTAAAAAAGGTATTATATTGGTAGTTTATGGTCATAGTGACTTAATACCTAAGAGAGATTTGCTAGGTTGTAGTAATATAATGTTTTTACGAAGGGATATTTAGTATACACATGTAAGTATAATTTATATAAATATCTACTGATTCAACAAAAACAGTTCATCTAATATATCATTGCGATATTGCAATTCAGATAGTCATAGATGGAATCGAAACATGATCAATTCATTATTTCGACAATTTTGTGGTTTTAGGAACCACAACACATCTAATTTAGCTCAATAATATTAATTACCTACCAAATAAGTTTCGGGAACGCATCGGAAAATGATTTTATTGACACGATAAGCACATATTAACCACACAGTCATATTGAAAATGCTATCAACCACAAAATGATCAAATTAATTTAAAAACTTGTTATAAAACTGGTCCAGGTTATTAATAAGTTATTAATATTGTAGGAAATTATTAAATAAAGTATTTAATTTATTTGTTATTCAGATGAAATAGGAATGTCAATATAATGCCGATACCAAGTTTGGTTAAATAAGAATACTGTATTTAAGTAGGTTCTAATTTAAGTGTATGTCTGTTGTATTTTAGTTTTCTACGTATAAGAGAGCCATGCTTCGGCACAAATGGGCCGGATTGACCGGAGCGATACCACGGTCTCACAGAAGACCGACGTGAAACAACGCTTGCGTTGTGTTTCGCCGTGTGAGTGAGGTTACCAATTACCCCCCCCCCCCCCCCCCCCCCCTCACCTTCCCAATCCCTGAATCCCTAACAATCCTCAAACTCCTAATCCCAAAAGGCCTACTTGTATCGCCTCTGGTGTTTTAGGTGTCCATGGGCGACGCCGATTGCTTACCATCAGGTGATCCGTCTGGTCGTTTACCGGCTTATGCCATAAAAAAAGTGTGAAGCGATCGAACCAGCAACACTTTTCTTTAATTTTGAAATGCTGGAAACCATGTGGAAATTAAAATGACTGGAAAGTGAGTCCACAACATATAGGATAGGGAATCCTAGGCCACCAGTAGACCAAAGACGTTTTTGGTTTTAATAATACAGGTAAGTTTATTTTCTGAACATCTTTTGTTTTTACTTAGTATTTGAAACTGATTTATCACAATAGGGATGATGACTGGGTACGAAAATTAAAAGTGTATTTAATCCGTCAGTTAGGTAATGAAAAAACATTAGACACGTATTTTTTTATTTTATCATACAACGAATACATGATTCGTTTTACCTAAGTATTATACTTAGATAAAATAAGTATTATACCTATTTACATAAAATCAAAGTTTACCGTTACGTACATAGAAGTGACGTCACGCGATAATTCAAATCAATAATATCGTCGAAAGTATTTGTTTCCGTAGAAAATTAAAAATACGTGCCTGATGTTTTAAAATAATCTACCAGACGGACATTAAAATAAATTGTAGGTGTATCTACCCCATTCACAATCAAACACTGCAAGGATCGTATAGGGCCTTGCTTACCAATTTATCTATTGTACTTACATGCAGGTTTCAAGATTAGTCATTATTTATTTTGTATTAGAAAGTTATTAAAAGAAAGAGGTGGTCTACGAATTAGCTCTTCTAATAGAATAAGAAATTAAAAGAGAGATATAAATAGTATAATAAGTTAGCTATTCTACTATGTATGTTATGCTAAGCGTCTAACGCCCGAATACTGAAAGGTTACTCAATTTTAAATTGTACTTAAATATCGTGCTATCTCTGTCATTTTACATAGAATTCGTTGAGACAGAAGAACTTGACGTAAGCGCAATTTAAAAATTGAGTGAAGTTTGAGTATTGCAGCGTAAATCTACATAAGTTTTCTACTTTCTACAAGTACATAAGGAACATAAGAAAACAGATTTCTTAACTCAAGCAACGGACTGTATACACTGCTGAAAATGTAAACTTTATTATTATACTAGGCTTATTAATAAAATGGTTTAAATATTATGTCTGTTAACACATTCTCAAAAACGGCTCTTACTTTTTTGATGAAAGTAACACCTACTTAGGGCCAATTTTTCAATACTCAGATAAAATGTCAATTTTATTCTACAGTTACGAATTAAATGATGATTGAAAAACCAGCCCTTAGTAGATAAAATGTTTTATTGTGGTGACAATTTGATTTAACTAGGCCATGTTTGGAAAAATAGTTTTTCTTTTGTTTTCACTTTAGTAGAACTCGGCATTACAAAAAATTTCCAAAAAAAAATATATTGACCTGTACGGTCTGTCGGTATAGGTGTAAAGTAAGTATAGGTATGTCTACAAGTTGTCTTATTTTTTTTTATATTACCATTTTAAATGTCTAGATCGGACATTTTATTGTTATTTGTCATAGTTTTTTTTTAAATAAACTTTTATTCACCCAGATTTTTCAACAAGTGCGCTCGACAGAAACTAGTTAGTCTTCAAAATGAGTTAAACAGGTTTTTGTATTCAAATTACTTACTAAAATATTTGCATAAATAGTATTCCAATGCGTAACTTGGGAATTTTTCGGGACTTTACCGATTTCGTAAACGAGTTTCTTCATTAATAAAAGAATAACCCGATAAATATCACGGTTTCAAAATTGGAAAAATTGGGACATGTTTAGTGTCTTCGTGTACGAAACTTTATGAATAAGATTGGATTTAATTATGATGATAAAAGACATAGTTATTTAATAAATTTTGATAGGTATAGTGGTCGTGGTGGTCTGGAGGTTTAAGACGCTCGCTTGTCATGCATGAGGGTGTTCGAAACCTACCAACGGCAAGTATCAATGTGACTTTTCCGAGTTATATGTACTTTTATACACTACTGACAAACGGTGAACGAAAACATCGTAAGGAAACCTGGGCTTATAATTTTTAATTATAAGTTTGAAATCGCCAACCCGCATTGAACAGTGGTGATTAATGCTCAAACCTTCTCAGTGTGAGAAGCAGCTTTGCTCAGCAGGCATTTATAGGCTGTAGATGATGAGATATGCACCAGTGTAATATTAAATAGGTGAATACTGTGAACGTACATACAATCTCACGTACCTATATTGTTGTTTATGTATACTCTTGGGAGTTGAGGCAAAGGAATACTTTTCTTTTTTATTTCTTGACAAATATAATCTGATACAAGTATTTTATTAATTGGTAACGTATGTCGTATAGAAGGCAATTTGCAAAGAGTATTTTGTCGTAAAAGGATTCTTTTTTTTAAAGTTATAAAAGGTTCGATAAAATTAAAAATAAAAACATAAACGGCGCCGTTTCTTAGCTGCCAATTTTAGTTCCTATTGGTTGGATTACTTTATTATTTCTTTAGGGAACAAGAAAATATTTTTTCTTATATAAAAGGAAGTTGTTTGAAAGTTTCGTAAGTACCTACTGTACCTAATACTTATTTGCGGAGTTCGGTAAAAATATCGTACCTACCTAATGAGTTTCTTGTCGCTAGGTGGGTAGGTGTACCTTACCTACTATATAAGTTACTAGAAATAAATAATAATCAATGTCTATATATAGGTTTTATCTTAAAAGTTCTTTACAAAGTTTCCTGTATTGTCTTTTTCTAGTTATATCTAAATGAGTTTTTCTTACATAAGGAAGTACCTTAGTATTATTTGTCGTCTGTACCCCTTCATTACGATTTCGCGTTGCTTATTTGTACTGTTTTTTTCAATATATCACCCACTTTTCACCAGGTACAGTCAGCATCAAAAGTGGATGAACCCATTTTGATTTTCAAAATTCCTGTACAACGTATTACCTAAATCGATGACAAGACAAGCGCCAAAAATAAATAATTATCTTGTGTTGCGTTTAAAGGCTCGTCATGTTCGCCGATTTAGGTACAATGCGCTGTACAAGCGATTTTGAAAATCTAAATGTGTTTATCAACTCTTGATGCTGACTGTACGTTACAAGTCCCATGACCCTATGTAATACCGTGTCAGCCTTTTGTGTACATCGGATACAATTCCACCAATGAGATTGCAATTGCGACCTGACGTCATTAGGCGACCAATGTTGATACCATGAACTCCACGAAGGCAACGTATTAGGGAAGAGGTGACTAATGAGAAGACGCTTTGCCTAATAATAAGCGTCAGTCATGGACACAAGAGAAACAAGAGGAGTAATATATTCTACAAAAGTGTGGGAGAGCCATGCTTCAGCACGAATGGCCCGCTCGACCAGAGCGATACGGCCTCGCAGAAAACCGACGTGAAGCAACGCTTGCGTTGTGTTTCGTCGTGTGAGTGAGGTTACCGGAGGCCCAATTACCTCACCCTCCTTCTCCAATCTCTGAATCCCCAACAATCCTCAAATTCCGAATTCCCAAAATGCCAATAACGCACCTTTTTTTTTTTTTTTTTTTGGGACAAGCCCGCCACAACCTCCCAAAACCGCTGCAACTCCTGTAAGCCAGGATCTACAGTAGATACAACCATGAAAACACCGGAACACTGAAGTCCGGCGCGTCCCAGGGACATGAGTAACTGTCTTGGTTCCCGCAACGAAATGAATCAGAAGATATTATAAGAGGAGAAGAAAAAACACACAAATAACGCACTTGTAACACCCCTGGTGTTTCGGGTGTCCATGGGCGACGCCGATTGCTTACCATCAGGTGATTCATCTGCTCGTTTACCGGCTTATCCCATAAAAAAAGAAAAAAACCTCTAACAACATAACATAACATCACTTTTATCCCCGAAGGAGTAGGCAGAGGTGCACACAGAAGTTACACCCACTTTTCACTAATTATGTTATGACTCCCATGTAATAGAGGATGAGCCTATTGCCATATACCGGTCACAATTCCAGACTCCGTGCTACTACTGAGATTTTTTTTAAACCCAGTAATAATTTGTCCGACCCGGTAATCCGGGAACCCGAGACCTCTTACCCGGTAGTTGCACTTGCGACCAGTCGACCACTCGGCTAACGAGGCAGTCAGAAAAAACCTCTCTTAAGACAAAATAGCCTTTCGAACCACACGTACGAGGTCTAGCGAAACTAGTACGTACTTGGTCAAGAAGACGTTCAGTTCAAGTTTATGAACTTAAAACAATGCAAATAATAAACAACAACCTATAGTTACTAGGCTAGCAAAAACTGGTAATAACCAGTTTCGAGATACACACATACTTAGACGATTATTTGCAGCGGTTGAGTGCCTTTGCGCTAAGTAATTTATGTACCACACGTCAAGTTGTACAATACCAATTTGTTATGGTCTGGCTTTGTATGATTTTTCTGAACGATCAACGGCCAGTTTATACTGGATGTGTATAGTTGGTCGTTTGTACCTTTAAGGTATTAATGCGAGTTTTACTACTGGTTTATTTCATATAGTAAACTAACGTGTTCCTTAGGATACACCTGCTTTATTAGACCTGTAGCTAGCAGTTACATTTGAAGTTACTCGAGTCTGCTAGGGAGCTTCGGAATAGAAATAAAACCTATTTAAAGGATTTTTAAGATTAATTAAATGTAATTTTTGGTTTACGCGACCGACATTTATAGTGTATAATATAATAATAAGGTCCATGTGTTTCTAATAAGGAAACTAAGTTTTTTTAGTCGTTGCCCTAATTTATTTCAAACTTTGTCCTGTAGGATTATCTCCTGTGTCGTGGACGGACGTGTGTGCGGTTACAAACATTCATATTCACATAAGTATCAAACACAGACTTTTAATCTTGTAGACCTCACAAAAAGTTGTCCCGTTAGTAGCCGGTTACACTGCCACTGCACCAGCCAATAAGGAAAAAACAGGCCCCTTAAATTCTCTATTCTAAAGTCTTAAAAGTATAAGTTCCCGATAGCAAAATAAAACAATCATGTCCTTGACAACTTTCACAGAAAATTGAATCCAAAAAGCACATAACTAGAATTCACATTACATAGTGAAAACAATGCGGATACGACTCTTTAGATATAAACAAACAAATTACTTAAAGAATGTTTTTTTTAATAGCTTTCGTTCGAAAGTGGCGAAGGTCGAATAACTAGTTTTAATTTTTCTTCACAAGCTATAAAGGGTTTTTGTATTTAGCCATACCCGGATGTAAATACGGCTAAATATTGTAGCTTTGTTTATAAAACTGGTTCTGTACTTATGATCGGCGTTTAAAAATAAAATAAGATTATATAGGTATTGTGTTGGTTTGATAGCAATGTCCTTTAACTGGTGTAAATACATAATGTGACATTTGGATTAATTTTAAGTTAAGGATACACTAGCCGGTTTCGCCCGACATATTAGGATTTTTTTTAAGGGGGGAATATCATCGCGTGACTTCTCCCGCCTGAGTGAGGCGGAAGGGAGTGTCAGACTCTTATTGACTAAAAACCACCCCGTTCCTTCTCCTGCTCTTCGAACCGGAGCCCCGGTAACCCGTCAGGTTCTCCGCGACTCCGAATCGGCATCGGCCCTATTGGGACCCATCCGTGGTGGTCTGATGGCTCTTTGAGGCGCGCGCGGAACGCGAGGCGCCGTACGCTCGGGGACATATTAGGTATAGGTGACAACGCGCGCCTTATGTCCACAGCGGCGTTGATGTTGCCAGACATGTCGACCGGCAACGTCACGCTACTTTACACAACGTCGCTGGTGACGCGTGTTGCGGGACATATGTTGCCTAGTGTATCCCTGGTTTTAGAATATTTTGCCTCATATTTTATAACTTTTACTTAAGCAAGGTCTATCGAGCCCAGTATAATCAATCTACTAAATACTAAAACTATTCGGACACGTCTCAAGACGCGAAAACAACTTCATAGAGCGTCTCGTCGTCTAGGGTAAAGTAGAGGGCACACGCGGACGATCGCCGTTGCGATGGGCTGATCAAGTAGACCACTTTGTCATGCGTTTGCATGAGTGCAATAAAATTTCAGCTAGTCGGGAGATATGGCGGAACATCATATGTCGGGCTACAGCAACTGATTCGGATTCATTATGTTAACCACGACCACTCTGTCAAGAGTGATACGGCTGAGAAGAAGGGAAAAAATTTAAAGAGCTAATGACTTTTATGTTTCATAGTTTTTTTTTGTAATATCGGAGATTCGTAGCTAAAATATTTTTGCAATGAAACTTTTCCTCATTAAGTGCTTAAGTAATAATTGTGAACATATGTTTTTACTGAAAACATTTCTTAGCATAGCTTAGCTATTATTTATTTTTAAGGTATGTAGCAATTTATGTCTGCTGTAAGTAATGCCTACAAAGACTTTTACATGGAACTTAAAACATAATTAGTACAAAGTGGGTGTTATAGACCTATTCCTTAGACCTCGTCAAACAGTTACTTAGACTCTAAGGAGTTACCTAAGGCTTAGGGGCACAAAATGCGTGAGTTTTGCCTTTGAAGATTTTTTTACCATAGGTACATTCAGTTTTTTAGTCTTGTTTACTTGGAACGTTGTATTTTTTCTTTTTTTTATCATATATATATATATCTGTTTTTACATCTGTTTTTGTCGATAGGTTAATTGTTTGATCGATGTTTTCATACTCTTGCGGTAATCAAATATTTTGCGCATTTGGTTTTATTTATAGAAATATGTATACCTGACTTTAAGTCGTTGATTAACGTTTGATGTCGGGTAAGACAGGAAAAGTATCGATTTTTAAAAGCACGGTTTAAATCGGTGTTTTAATTTTTAAAATCGGTACTTTTCTTCTTAGATTGATTAAGTGTTTGTGATACTATGTTGTGTTATGTTCCATTTCTTGTAAGTTTAATTGGTTTTTTCGTTTCCCTCGTTTAGGTGAAGTTATACAATTACTAATTTTGGTTTTGAAACATTATCATTCATCATTATGATTTACAAAATTATTTGAAGTATGTTTCTATCTGTTTAATATGCCTACTTCTTCATTATATTCACCAACCGTCAAACGTCTTATTTGCGTCACATAATAATCTGTTCCTGTGACACACTTTTTAAACCTTTCCTATCAGAAATCTGTTCACGAAAGAAGGAAAGAAGAGGAAGAAGAAGAGCTCACCTGTCCCCCATGTGTTTTAGTGTTAGTTTTGTCAGGAGCCGGCAGAACTATGACGGCGGGACCGTCCCAGTACTCAGTGTCCCGGGGTGGACTACTGGAAAAAAAACAAGAGACACTTTCGCATTTTTTCCTGAAAAAAGTAAGCAAATTGAGTTAGTAAGCAAGAGTAGTAGATATATTCAACATAATTAATGTAAATTGTGTGTAACTTCTTGACGAGGACACTCGACTTATTTCGAGCCGTGATAGGGACTCATATTTACGCTACGTCCTCCGTGTGCGATTAAGAAGTGAATGTAAAGCGGTGCGGCGCGGCGCGAAAACAACAAACTGTCGAAACTTAGGTATTATGTTCTACGTAGGCGTCGGTGCGGAGCGGTGCGGAGCGGTGCAGAGCAGCGCAAAATGACGCGGACACTTGGTTTGATGAGGTTGGATGTTTTCGCGCCAAATTCCGCATATTTGAATGTCATGTTCTTGTTTGATTATAATGTTAGAAACAAAAACCAAGTGAGACAATTCACGTAGGACATAGCCGCTGTGTCGCATCGCATCGCATTGAATACGCGTGTTACCGCTTCATTATCGCGTTCGCTTTTAGATCGACCACGCAGGACCTAGCGTTCGGAGCAGCGCTATATGACGCTTACTGCGTTACGTCGTCTTGTGTGGAGCTACCTCGTCAAAAAGTTACGAGTATTTAAAAAGTAAATTAGTTTTAATTGTTTATTGTTTGAAACAATTAATATTCTTACGTTATCAAACAAAGTCATGTCTGTGTGCCTAACAGTCTCATCACTCGTAACTCGAAAACGGCTGGATAATTTTTCATGGTGTTCAATTTGTTCCCAATTCAATCTATTAAAGTAAGAAAGAGCTATTTCGTTTACATTTCTATAGTATTAACAAAATAGTATTAAGATTTTTTTTAAGGGGGGAAATCATCGAATGACTTCTCCCGCCTGGGTGAGGCGGGAGTGAATGTCAGACTCTTACTAACTAAAAACCACCTAGTTCCTTCTCCTGCACGTCGAGCCGGAGCCCCGGTAACCCGTTAGGTTCTTCGCGACAGTATTAAGACTTGGTGTATTGATTTTAACCCTTTGAGTACATACATACATACATAACATCACGCCTTTTATCCCTGAAGGGGTAGGCAGAGGTGCACAATATACCACTGTATAATGTAACACCCACTTTTCACTATTTATGTTATGAGTCCCATGTAATAGGGGGTGAGCCTATTGCCATATACCGGGCACAATTCCAGACTTCGTGCTACTACTGAGAATATTAAAAAACCCAGTAATACTTTGCCCGACCCGGGAATCGAACCCGAGACCCCTTGCCCGGCAGTCGCACTTACGACCATTCGGCCAACGAGGCAACCGGCAGCAGCATTATAGACACAATTAAAGAACAATAGGTTGCGGTCACCGGTGTCCTCGCGGTGTTTGACAGTTTAAGGCAAAATTAAGTTATTTTAACTCGTTTTTCGCCAAACAGTATGAAATATTAAATGTCCATGTTTCCAACAACTATAGCGAATTTGTATAGGTAGGTAAAGTGTGTCATTAGAAGAGCATTCGCTTAGGAATCGAGACACTAGTCTAACTCGTTTAATATATAAAATTAAAAAAATATGTGATTCATAGTGTGGTTTTAAATGATAACATAATTTAAACAATACCTGTTATTTATAAAATAAAATATAATACCCTTGAATATTCCTATGTTTTAAATTTTATAAACAGCGAAATAAGTATGCTCTAATCCAAAATCTAAACGATCTTTTGCGAAATAATAAGGCATTAGGATAACAAGAATCTTATGGAAAAACGTTCAGCAGTTTTCGAGTTGATCACATTCAGTTTGACAAGACTTTGTTTTATAACATGTTGCAAGACAGCAAAATAAATTGAAATTTATTGAATCAGAATTTGTGAGATTTATGAAAAATTAAAATATTATTGTTATATTAATAGAAAAATTGTTTTATTACCTTACGGGTCTCCTTGTGCGGTCTGGTCTCTGTGTGGTCAGCACGTAGTTAGGCCTGTCCAGATCCTGGTTTGATGATGACGATGGTCTAGACAATATAAAAAATACAAGGTTAGTTATTGATGTTTAAGTATTATAATAATGGTCAAACTTATATATATAAGCGTAATCTACAAATTAATTTCCTAAGAAAATGCTCAGATTTTCCCAATTAGGGATTGCTCACTATTAAAGTAAAATCCGGAAAATCTCTAATGCTTTGTAGAACCCCTCTGTGGTTCGAAACTAGTAGAGATTTTTTCAGTATTTTCAAGTGAGTAACCCGCGTTTTTTATTTAATTTAGCATGTCTTACCATATTTATTATAAAAAAACTCTAATGCTTTTCTCTAAAAGTTTATAAGTAGTTCCTATTCATTGTACTTATCATTTAACTTTATTAATTGTAACATTTAATTTTGCATGCCGAAAACAGTAGGCGATGTATGTGGGACTATTTTTTATAATTATTATCACCTATAACGTAACTAAACGTTCTTATTCTAGTTTGCCAGAGTTTGCCATTATACCTAGGCTTGGCAGCCGACTTGGGGATCGACGTTAGGTCAGAGAATACAGGATCCTCTGTCTGATCGCAGTATTAAGACTCAGTTCCCAGTCGTCTCGTTGTCGAAGAACCTAACGGGTTACCAGGGCTCCGGCTCGACGTGCAGGAGAAGGAACGGGGTGGTTTTTAGTCAGTAAGAGTCTGACACTCCCTCCCGCCTCACCCAGGCGGGAGCAGTCGTTCGATGATTTTCCCCCTTAAAAAAAATAAAGTCGTCTGGTTGCTTTGCTAATTATTTTTTTCAAATACCATGTAGCATAGGAATGTTCTTAAACTTCCTAATGATCACAGGTAAAATACCTATTACAACCGAATATTACGTTAAAATATTTTTTCCATATCAAAGAGAGAATTAATCACATAGTTAGCGGTAGGTACAATGTAATTTGTATGACAGTGGTAGATAGCGCGATATTAATGAACGTTGTAATCAATTGCTCATTACGAATTGTAGTGACGTCACGTCACGTCGTGCCGCCGCCGCCATGATGGATTCGCTTTTGTCAACGTCATTGTTATGTTTTTATTTATCTGTTGTTTTTTTTGATAAATGTTTTAATTAATACATTTTGCTTTGATAAGCCGTATGGTAACGGAAGAGAAGAATACATTATTATGTCATTACCCCTGCGTTTATCAAATATATCATAAGTCAAATTCGAAGCGTCTATTGCAATTAAGTGTACAGAGGGCTTAGTACGAGTTTCTTTTTCGTTTAAAGTAATCGAAACGAAACCTCGTCTGGTGCTGTGATTGGTTGGTTCATTGGAGCCGGCCAATCACAGCGCCGAACGCTGCTAAGGACTCAGATGATGTTACAGAATTATTATAGTGCTTAATACTTAGCGGCCTTTTATAGACATTGCAACATTTTTGGATAAATAAATACATTGTTATTAACATTAGCAAAAAAATTCTACAATTCAATAGGTATCGAGTGTACATCTAAATAACAATATTGCATGATAGAGTAGGATATCAATCCGGCAGTAGACTGACTGTTGATGATATTTTGTTTCTCATGTAGTTAGGTGGAAGCTATGCAAAATTGATCTATCGTTTTAGATCTCAATAAAGCACTTGAATACATCACACACAACAACAGCCTAGAAGGGGCCACTGCTGACCAAGAGCCTCTTCTCACATGGAGAGGGTTCTAGCAACACAACACTTGCACAATGCAGGTTGGCGATTTCAAACTTATAATTGGAAATTATGAGCCCAGATTTCCTCGCAATGTTTTCCTTCACCGTTTATCAGTGGTGTCTAAATCATCTTAGAAAGGACATGTAACTCTAAGTCACATTGGTACTTGCCGTTGGTAGGTGGTTTCCAACCTGCACACTGCACCCTCGTGCATAAGAAGCGGTTAAACCTTCTGACCACCACGACACCACTTGAATAGCAGAACAATATCCTCTTGTCTGTTGAAAGTTGCGGATATAATGTGTTTTATACCGGGAGCCGGTGTCAACAGATAAAAGGATATTAAATACTTAGGTATAAAGTTGAAATCAATTCAATTCCTAACATTCGGCTACAATACGAAAAATAACGTTAGGAATAAAGGTATATCCTAAAGGATCTATTAAAGATAAGAAGTAAGCCGGTGTTTCAGTATAAGTCCCGAAAAAGATACGTGTTTATTTATAAAGGAAAAGACAAAAGAAAGCAAGGATCTGTTTTGAAGAATGTAATAAATGTATTCAAATAAGGGTTGAGGACGTACGACATCCCTATATGCGTATTGTTATATGTATATCTTTCTGTTACATTTCTAGGGTTCGTATAAAATATTAATAAAACTAAATTGTTGAGACGTTGATTCTTTATTATGAGTACCTACGTTATACGTAGGTAGGTAAGTAGTTTTGAGTTGGTACTAGGTCGGGTATAATGCTAGAAGATTTTTTATATTTTTCTAAACTTCTTGAAGTACCATAGAGGCTGAAATTATGCCGAATGAATTATGACAAAAGGTTTACCACCTATTTATTACATGGGACTCATAATAAGAGAGTATACTCATGAAAAGTGAGCAGGTAATTTTAAAACCTTAACATTTATTAAACATATCATTAATGTATCAATCTCATGCGTTGTTAAAGAACTTAATAACTTATTATTTTCATCAATATTTTTATTGCATTTTTTTTTTTTTTATATAAAACGTTGCCCCACACTAGGATTTTCTCCTGTGTCGTGGGTGCGTTTACAAACATACAATTTCGCATACACATCACACCCAGACCCGAAACAACAATATGTGGATCACACAAAGTTCCGTGCGGGAATCGAACTCGCTGCACGTTGCACGGCAGCCGGTTGCCCAGCCACCGCACCAACCGTGCAGTCAACCCAAGCAATTGGGTATGAGTGCAATAAGAAATGTTAACTTTGGGTTGAAGATAATGACGTCGTCGCTAATTAGTGCAAACATTTTTCGAGAAATCACACGGTTGCTGTATAGTTTCCGTTCACCTCTGTAAACTATTTTGTGGATTAAAAGTTATGGTGTTATTCTGAAATAGAATTAGCTAAATTGACTTCAAAACTCCACAAACGCATGAACGAGCTTACTTTATACAGGTTTGTGTAAAGAACATGTTTATTTTTATATTTGATGGGTCGACGTTCGGCCACTATCTCGCCTGGTGGTAAGCGACGATGCGGCCTACGATGGAGCATGTCTGCTCATATGTTTGTATATATTACATCAAACTTTTAGCCGGCAATTGGATTGTATATATTTCGTTTGGCTTATTGCCTAAAGGTATAATAGATACATCCTTTAAACTGTCAAACACCGCGAGGACACCAGTAACCGCAACCTATTGTTCTTTAATTGTGTCTATAATGACGGTACTCAAAGAGTTAAGAGATATGAAGCGGTTTGATTCAATGATTTAAGATCTATAACAGATATTCTTTAGCTATGACTATAAAGATCAGTTTGAAGTGCGCTATTATTTTAGTCGAGTATCAAATAGATTCTGTCCTAAAATCAACGCATGGGAGTGCTACTAAATACTCGTCAGCGGTGGCCCGGAGGTAAAGGTGGCCGGCGCCCGCATCTCGTGTATAAGGGTGCGGGTTCGAAAGTACCAATGTGACTTTTTCCGAGTTATATGTACGGTCTAAGATTATTTAGACGATTTAGTAAATAAGCACTGCAACCAACGACATAAACTGCGGTTTCCACTCCATCTGCTAAGCGATGATTATGGCAGACTTTCTTATGTTGAGACTCTTTCTATTAGCTACCCAGTCAAATAGAAGGTTTTAAATACCAAATTATAAAGGTACTTACATATTAGAAGGTGAAGGTTGACTCCCTGGTCTTGGGTACACAGGTCTAGGTGACTCCCGAGGTGGAGTCTGCACCGGCTTCGTGTTCAATTCAATCCCATTAGTCGGCCTTTGAGAAGGTCTACTTTCTATCACATCTGGTCTATCATTGATAACTGGTTGAGGAGTATTCGCGTTACAAATCTCTCGTCCGTTCAGTCTTATCGCTTGTAGTCTTGGGGTTTTATTTAAAGGGTTAAACTGTACGAAGAATCGCACGGCCACAGCTGGACCAGGGTTAATCTGCATATCCGCGTTCTCAATTTTGAAGTCCTTGTTGTCTTGCGTTGAGACGTCTCCTATCCAGTTCTGTAAGAGAAGAAAATGGGTTAGAAATTGAATTTTATTTATGTGTATACCTATGACAGATATTAGATATGATTGTAATTATAGATTGGTGACTAAAAATATCATGGTCGTTGTGGCCCGGAGGTTAAGACGCCTGCTTCTCATGCAAGAAGCTGCGGGTTCGAAACCTACTACTAGCAAGTAACAATGTGACTTTTTCCGGAATATATAATTATGTACTAAACTATCTAAGATTATTTAGACACCACCAACAAACGGTGAAGACAAATTAGCGCAACTATTTATTGCTGTTTCCGTATCTTTAGAATTAGCAGATGTAGTTTTTATGAATTTCTCATTTAATAAATCAGTCGGTTTGAGTTGAAGCCGAATTTCTTGCTGTGTATTAAGGTCACCAGTATAACCGGATCATATGAAGGAAAATGTTCCACAAAATGTGTTTTGTCTGTTTGGTTTACGGAAACCGGAGCGGTATGCCGATTCTGATAAAGAGGCTCGATACATGTTTAAAATAAAAGAAAGTTGTAATGATAATATTACACGTAGCTTTGAGGCTACTAAAGGATACATAAATGAAGATACACGGCGGTAGGTACTCAGAGTAATTTAATGATAACTTACCCCAGCCTCGTTAGTAAGGAATATTTTAAGTAATTATTATGATAGTTAGCCGCCTTTATTTATATAACTTGTATATAAAAGCGAATAATTACCCACATTCCCAGGTTTCTGAACTATTCTCAGTGAAATCCGAGTTTGTTATGACTGTATTGTGAATCTGATTAGAAAAGAGTATCCTATTGAGTTTCTTGCTCGTTCTTCTCCATAGGAATATTATACACTTTGGAATGAGCAAAAAGCTTCACTTTAAATGTTTTGTTGACGTTCAAAAATGCCTTCTTGGTCTAATTGAAATAAATGATTTTGATTTTGACTTGACTATATTGTGGTATTTTCTTTACCAACCCACCCACGCTTGGAAAACTAACTTATTTACACGATTAAGACTTTGACTGCCAGTAAAAAACTGTTGAAGGTAAATCCTCCGCTAACGCCGGTCACCATAAAGTGTTAAAAACAAGAAAACTGGGCAAGCTAAATAAAATTGTTTCAAAAATACTCACCCCAAGTATATCAGCCTTGTTATCAAGCACAATATTCAGCCATAGGGAGTGCAGAGTGCTGTCAGTGGACAGGTTCACGACGCCATACCACCTTCCCTGTTCTGAACCTGGTGGTTCATACATGAACACGTTTGGACATGGCGATATGGGGGTCGAGTCCCGTGTGTCCTGCTCGAATGATACTGCTACCAAAGCCAGAAATGTGCAGAGGGCCGCGATCTGTTGGAAAAAGGTTAAATAGTTTAGAGATATTCTTTTAAAGGTGGTTTCTTGCTCGTCCTTCTCCATACGAAGACACGCATTTAGCTTGACTTAATAAATACTCTGAAAAGAATCGTGGATTGAAAAACATGGCAGTGGACCGGTTTTATTCTCGCTGAACATTACTCCGTCCAGTTAATTATAACATGGTGGAAAATTAGAGGCTCATGATTAAAAATTTAACTGATGCTGATGATTTGGACCGCGGTGGGTACAGCCGTTTCTGTTTTGGCCGCGACTTTGGATGTTTATAAGATCAGGGTTTCTTTCAGAAGTACCTACTTCTGAAAGATTGTAGCCAGTATTTTAGCAGTTTTTAAGAATCATGAGTGTATTTTAATTTGTGTTTTGTGGTAGTGAACTTTATGTGTTTTACTAATATTGACAATTAAACTGTCAAACACTGCGAGGACATCGGTGACCGCAACCTATTGTTCTTTAATTGTGTCTTTAATTATGGTACTCAAAGGGTTAAATGAAGTTCCCGCTTATGGCGAACTTAAACTCAATTTAAGTCGTCATCATAACTTACAAACAAATCAGAACTTATAGTAAGTTTTTACTAACATAAAAATAATTTCTTAATCTAATTATCATCAAAACAACCTACGTTCTTCAGTCCAAGTACGTCAGTATGTACGTATGTAAGTACATTCACTCTACGATATATTTAGAAAACTGGTTGACTTGGTGTCGATGCGAATAGGGAGGCAACGACGCAAGGAGCGGGTAGACGAACCTTGTTCCATGAGATCAGCCAATGAAATGTTATCGAGAAAAAAACCTGTCTGTACAATGGACCTAATTATATTGAAGTTATTTAATTTTACTTGTTGTTTTGTTTGTGGTCGAAGTCCAAGTATAAGTGCGGAGAGAATGTTCGTGTAAAATATTGGTGATGAACTTTGTTTTGCTGTTCACATATGGATTTAAACTGTCAAACACCGCGAGGACACCGGTGACCGCAACCCTATTGTTCTTTAATTGTGTCTATAATGACGGTACTCAAAGGGTTAAATAATGTTTTAAGTGAGAAACCAGTTAGTAATACGGATGCTAGATGATAACATAACATAACAATACATCACGCTTTTTATCCCCGATGGGGTAGGCAGAGGTGCACATTATGCCACTATACAATGTAACACCCACTTTTCACAATTTATGTTATGAGTCCCATGTAATAGGGGGTGAGACTGTTGCCATATACCGGGCACAATTCCAGACTCCGTGCAACTACTGAGAGTTTTTTTAAAACCCAGTAATACTTTGCTCGACACGGGAATCGAACCCTAGACCCTTTGCCCGGCAGTTGCACTTGCGATCACTCAGCCAACGAGCAGTGCTAGAAGATGTATCGAGTGAAAATGCTTAGGAAAGTCAGTAAAGAGGGCGCCCTAGATGTGACGCCCACGTACCTAGCCAAATTTGGGAGACGTATTAAAAAAGGGCAATATATCAAAAGTACCAGCACAATTTTAGAACAATTTGATACAAATAAATACAAGGAATTTTTTTAAGCATAAATATTGTACTTAACATAGTGAGAAAAGAAAAAAAAATATTATGGTAAGAGAACAAGAAAGTACTTAACTCTATTAATATATAATAAATTGGATTGTATATGATTTTTTTTTTAAGGGGGGAAAATCATCGAATGACTGCTCCCGCCTGGTTGAGGCGGGAGGGAGTGTCAGACTCTTACTGACTAAAAACCACCCCGTTCCTTCTCCTGCACGTCGAGCCGGAGTCCCGGTTACCCGTTAGGTTCTCCGCGACTCCGAATCGGCATCGGCCTTATTGGGCCCCATGGATTGTATAAGATTAAGACATAAAGAATGTAGTAAGTTAACAATACAAATAAAACTAAGGGAAGCATTGTTGTAAAATGATATTCCATGTACTTATAGTGATGTGTGCCTGCCGTAAAAAAACCTACTAATAGTAAATTGTATACGTGTATAAAAATGAAAATGAAAATTAAGAGCGCTATTTTTGCCAACAAACTGTTGAACAGTTTAGAATTAAGTAACATGCATGTATCTATAACTGAATAAAAAAAAATATATATTGTTCAAAATATCCAATTCACTGTTAAATCCTTCAAATAAGATGAAACGCGAGTAGTGTGATAAACAAACATCGTCCGAATTTTCGTTCTATATATAAGCTTAGTATAAATAAAATATTAAAGCACTTACAGGCGATATAAACCGCTTAAGTTCTCTTTATATTCAAAGAAAGCGGATCAAAGGATACGTCTACCTTTGATAGGATTCTTCAACAATATATATACGTAGGTATATACATAATATATAACTATATAATATATATGGTGGTATAAAACTAAGTCTATTATTTTCGTTTATTTGTAAAAATAGTTGGTAGACACCTTTGTTGACGGTTGCCGGACTTCAGTGTTCCGGTGTTTGCATGGTTGTATCTACTTATTGGGTATTGGGAGGTTGTGGCGGGCTTGTTCCATAAAAAAGACACCTTTGTTGAACTGTCTTTTTGTCTTGTATATAAAAAGATTTGGATATTTAACTCGTCGAGTACCGTATTTATAGACACAATTAAAGAACAATAGGTTGCGGTCACCGGTGAACGCTTGGTGTTTGACAGTTTATGGCCTGTTGCAGAATGTATGATTAAGTTTCAATTTTCATGTATTTTTCAAATGAAACGTGTGCAGTATGTTTTTATGAAGAGTTTACTTTTGTCTAAGACGTGTTGTTGTATTTTTCATAAATTATTTACTTATGCTTTCTATACGCCTATGTAGGCGTTACAAATCGCAAAAGAGTTATGGGAGCTTAATTCTTAGATCGAACAAAGTATTAATTTCAAGTATAAATTATTGTATACTGCACGGTTGGTGCGGTGGCTGGACAACCGGCTGCCGTGCAACGTGTTGCGGGTTCGATTCCTGCACGGAACAACACTTTGTGTGATCCACAAATTGTTGTTTCGGGTCTGGGTGTCATTGTGTATGTGAACTTGTATGTTTGTAAACGCACCCACGACACAGGAAAAAATCCTAATTTGGGGCAACGTTTTTAAGAAAAAAAAAATTGAAGTTATTGTAAAAATATTAGATTCGTATCTAACATACATTAATAAAACTAGAAAAGTGTTCACTAACGCCTCTGTCTATCCCTTGTCAGTTAAACAAGCCCGGTGTTATATTATACACAATTCTAATCAATTAAATCTGTTGTCAAAATGTCTAGTCAGGGAATGCGATTGACCGGTATCGTAACTGGAAATCTTAGAACACTGTGTATGACGTTTGAAAGCTGATTGGCAGTAGTTCAAATTGCTATACCGTTGTATTATATACGTAGAAAATCAATAGTATATTTTTATGGTATAAGCCGGTAAACGAGCAGACGGATCACCTGATGGTAAGCAATCGGCGTCGCCCATGTACACCTGGAATACCAGAGGCGTTACAAGTGCGTTACCTGTCTTTTGGGGATTAGGAGTTTGAGAATCGTTGGGGATTCAGGGATTGGGGAGGTTGGGGAAGGGAAGGGTAATTGGGCCTCCGGTAACCTCACTCACACGACGAAACACAACGCAAGCATTGCTTCACGTCGGTTTTCTATGAGGCCGTGGTATCTCTCCGGTCGAGTTGGGTCAAAATTACTGCAATCAGTAACAGATTATGTCAGGATATTGTAATAGACCCTATTACTTACCTATGATCCCTATTACTTGGGACTCATAACATAAATGGGTATTTTGTTTACTATGTGCAACGACCGCCTCTGCCTATGACTTCGAGAATTAACGTCTGTTTTGTTTGCACTGCATCGGTCAGTCAGATCATTAAGTATTGTTACATGATGTAAAATAATTAATTATGGTACTATAAATATACCATAATACGACGAACTATTCAATTATGCATAGACATTGTATATATACACGTTACATTGTATGTACGAGTATATATAGTGTATACTGCTGTATATGATGTTTCCTCGTAATGATAGAACGTTTAAATCAGTGTAATTCTTGTTATTAAACTTATCAAGTAGATCTTATAAGAAATTATTGATAAAATAACATGACGTATAACGTGGTAATCTATTTTATAACTTGTAATATAATAAATTAAAAACAAATAAAATTGGACTCCTAAGACATCCCCATTTATTAATTGTTTTAATTTTTTTAACGTGTACATCAGTGGTTCTTAAGTTGTTTGAACTAAGACCTATCTGAATCAAGTTCTCAAGCTCAGGACCCACCTTCAGGGACCGTTACCAATATAAAAATTTAAATAACGAACTGTTGGTTAGTGAATCATTCTATGATTCAACAGACAAGCCCCACTAAAAATTCGTTTGCGACCCACCAATGCGTCACGAACCATAGTTTGAGAAACCCTGGTATACATAAAACCTTTATGTTATTTGAGGCTTAATCATCATCATCATCATCATCAACAGCCTATAAATGCCCACTGCTGAGCAAAGCCTCTTCTCACACGGAGAAGGTTAGAGCATTAATCACCACGCTTGCTCAATGTGGGTTGGCGATTTCAAACTTATAATTAGAAATTATAAGCCGAGGTTTCCTCACGATGTTTTTCCTTCACCGTTTGTCAGTGGTGTCTAAATAATCTTAGAAAGTACATATAACTCGGAAAAAGTCACATTGGTACTTGCCGTTGGTAGGTTTCGAACCCGCACCCTCATGTATGAGAAGTGGGCGTCTTAAACCACCGGGCCACCACGACTTGAGGCTTAATAAGAGGAACTATACCAAATTCCTCGCTGGTGTAGCCGGGGCAAAAAGCTAGTACTTAACATGATTCGCATGTGTCCAGTTGTATCATATTATGGCTACATAATAAATCACACGTCATCAAGGTAACATTATATAAAATTACAAATTATAGTGTCGTTAAAGTATAATGTATGTCTTCTTTACTTGTTCGCATCGTT